GTATTCACCCAATTTCTTTAAGGTGATGAAGGACTGATAGAAGAAGAATTTTCCCACAATGATATGAGTTGAGCTCAACTCATTCTTCTTCTACCAGTCCTTCATCATATTAAACGAAATTTGTTGAATACATCTCATATTACTCTTTATCTATGAAGGTTTTTCGATTTATTTTGCTTAATTGAGTCTCTATAAGAGGTAAGATAGAAACGGATAGTCTTCTTGGCCTAGTTTTAACGTGAGACTTTTACAGGAATTAGATCCAGCTCTGATGATGTGCATCAGATGATGGACGAAAGCTCAGCCCGTTTTCACCCGAAACGATGGAGGACGTCTCGTGGACTGCGACAACCTGAACGTCGAAATAAAGCCAAACGGCTGCAGTACAACGCGATTCAGCCGTCCTCTTCTGGTGAGATCGCCCTACGAATATCTTCTTCATGCACTTTCATACGAAATGAAAGTGTCTTCAACCATGCCATAATCAGAAAAACGACAAGTTTTGATGCCATTCAATCTCGTGTCCAGCTTTGCCCTGCATCTAGCCAGCTATGATTTTTTTAGCCCAAAAACCTCTGCAGGCCCATTTGTGCTCAGCCCCTTTTGTCGAATGGGACGACATGTCTTATTAACACAAAAGCGACCACATGACGCATTATCTTGTAGCAGCCTGATCTGAATACTGAGTTAACTTTTTCTCTAAAGTGGACATAACTGAAAGAAATTGTCGGTTTTTATTCGCATATTGCATGAACGTAAAGACAAATCATAAGAAAAGGTCTCCTTATCTCACCTTAATAATTCACCATTCAAAAATCTATTATTTATTAATCTAATTTCATTTTCATTCAAACCTAGTGGATAATCATTCTCAAGAAATATCATTTTAAACCGCTCCAGTTCATTATCACAATGGTCTCTATCGGCTTGTTTTATGCCCCGAATAATAATAGATTTTAAAACTCCAACCTTCGTTTTGTAAATATGATCGGAAAAGAAATTAAGGATCAAGGAGGCATGCGTCGGCTTTCTATATACATCTCTGTTCGACTTCTCACCTACTTTGATCACTAAAACATTCGGAAAGGTTTAAATATTGTCCCTCTCTATCTCCATTCCCAATTTAATATTTCAATTAATCTGATCAATTAAGAACACGGAATTATCTAAACTATCCTTACCATTCTGCCAAATGGCAAACTAGTCATCCATGTATCTAACTAACAGTTTTGGAGTCAATCTCACCTCTTCCACGAAGCGTTCCTCCATTCCTGATATGCAATTATTTGCTAAAATAAGAACCAAACATCCGATCATAAACCTTATCGTTAGACTTGAAGTACGTGCTACTCATTAAGTAGCTATAAGATTACGCTTTTGCTCAGATTTGCTTCCTCAATAATTTCTGGGTCCTCATCCAGACTGTGTGCTAGTGCTTCGATAGCCTTCTAAACTGGGAACTTAGCATACATTGATATCACATCGAAACTCACCAAAAAATCCACTTCTCAAATACCCTGTTGATCTAGCAGCCTAACAAATTCATATAAATTCTTCATTAAATCTTTCCAATACTCAGCCACTTTTCTTGATTGTCGACACAAGAATTCTGAAATCCTATGCATTACACTTCCCTTATTATTAGCAGTCAATCTTCCTTGTGTATTTTTGGAAAGCCATAAGCAGAATATACCATAGCATCCCTTTGAGCAAGTGAATTCATTTTCCACTTCTAAAGTTTTCCTTTTTCTACGCAAACGCTAAGCTATTTCCTAGGTCTGGCCTTAAGACCCTCTGTGGGATACTTAACTAAAAGGCTCTATGTTTCTGAGTCATTAAAGTGGGCCATCATTTTTTCTACATTACTTAACCTATCAATGATGACCACTGCAGCACTTGTATCTGCCTTCAAAACAAGCAGATCAATTTGGTGTTGGTATCTATAAATCTTATATAAGTCATAAGGTTTCTTCGTAAAAATTAACTGGGCTCTTACCTTACCAAATAGGTCAGAAATAGAGTATATATGCAACTTTATTGGTATAAGACGGCGAGTTTTCTTGACTCGTTAGCCTGAATATGGTTGTTAGGCGGATACCCTGATCCAATGACGTTCATCATACAAAGTTTTGCAAGTTTGCACCAGAATTGAAGCAGATTGCCTCGGAAACAGCATCAACAAGAAAGATCCAGTAAAGCTAATCGACATCTGATCAAAATGAATCCGCCGTCGTCTTCTACTGGGATCGGCTTTCGGATCTTTTCACTAAACACTTTCACTCGAAATAAAAGTAAGCTCAAAAATCCGACAATTGATATGAGTGGTATGTTGGGACCCGTCCTGATATTAAAAGATAGGCTATAAGTCGGAAAGTTGTTGAGAATGACAGAGAAAGAGTAAGCATATTTCGCTTGACATCTTCAATATTATATCGTCAACTCTGATAAGATATAATCTTCCAATTTTCGGGTAAGTTGACACGAATTTCATGCTTCCCTTTCTGTTAATATTCACTAGCCTAGTTGGTATATTGCTTAAGTAATGATAAATTTTAATATATTTTAATTTTATTAAATATATCAATACTCAATTCTCGATAAGAATGTATTCTTGCCGAATTTGTGCCACTCACTTAAACCATTAGTTAATTCGTCCTAAATATTTTCACTTTAAACAAACTCAATGTAATTACCATTTTATCACAACGTTTCAGTGTTATCAGCCATAATTTCACTCAAAGATTGTAAGCCCTTGCGTAGTTAATTAAATGCAGCTTAAAAAATTTACTTAGTTGACGAAATTAAGATCATCTCTGATTCTCGACCTAATTCACCTTTGCTTAGCGTTTGCCAAATCTAAGATCTGTTGTTTGTACACAAAAACTCCGCATGGGATGGAGTCTACAAGGTTTCAGCGCAGAAGGTTTTGCAGACGTAATGGCCTTCATAAACCTATTTAAAGTGGTTTCGCTGAAATTAGATGCTGACCTTTGCAGAAATCAGGGGAGCCGTTGAAACCGAATAGTCAAGAAGAGGATTCGATTCTCAGATTCAGCCGATGCGCATAAGTTTAAGAAACCAATATATGACTGTGCCTGAGTGGGTGGGTGCAGGTTTGCGCG